TGACGGCCTTGTAAAGGAAGTAAGGTATGGATTGGATTGGCCTTCATTAACTATGACTTATAAGGACCTACTGTGTGTCATAGGCTGTACTTTGTACTCCACATACAGTATTTTTACTTTTCACAACAGTCATGCAAGCTTAGTATTATTTCCATTTTAACAAACAAGGAAACTGAGGTTCAGACAGGTTAAATGAGGTGCTTTAATTTCCCATAGGTAGTAAAAGTAGTGGAGCTGTGTTCCGGTCTGTTTGACCTACACCTCAGGCTCCTTCCACTCCGCCTTGCTGCCTCCCTGGTGGGTCCACACACTAGGTAGGACACTGTGGCTGGACAGACAACATAACCTGGGCAGACCTTTCTAGCCTCTCACTGGCCAGGGCGGCTCCTGAGTCCTCTGGGCAGCCCAGCTCCGCCCCTTGCGTCTCCAACAGGTTTCTCTTTTCCCATGATCCTTCAGTGCTGCATCTGAAGCAGGCACTGGGACATGCCCTCCTTAGTGCATGTATTAATAGAAAATGGGCCCTTATGAAACCTGTTTTGGTTTATTCTGTCATAGAGATTTTGTGGATAGAATTAAGAATAGGTAAATACTGACTTGAAGTGGAGGGAGCAGGAACCACGGTGTTCTATATCTGGAATGTTTCATGGTGTGGATTTATGTGTAATGTGAGGGAAAAGGGTGAGCTGAGCAGGATGTCAAGCAAAAAGTCTCCCTTTCCCCTCCTCCTCTCTACCCCATGTTTTTAGAGGACTCGTAAAACTTCCCTGAGAATGGCACTGTGCTCAGAAATGCCCTATTTGTTTAAAACTCCCCAGCGGCACTTTTAGATCTAGCCTCCTGTTTGTTGTTGTTTTTTAAATATGCAAGGGTAGTAAATTTAACCAGTGTGTTGGATTTTAGGAGTTCCACACAATCTCCGGTATGTTACCCATCCCAGTGTGTAGACCAGACACCGCTCCGTGGCAGTGCCTGGGAACTACACTCTCACCAGTAGCTGGGGGGTCAGGAGAAAGTGGGCTCTCACTCCTGCCCACTGAATGCAGAGTGGTCTCAGCCTATTCTCTTTCCTCCCCGTTCCCCTTCTTTTCTTCCTTAAGGCGACTTTGAATGGAAAGGGAGGAGCTGGCAATTCTCTTAGGCCAAGCGGAATTCCTTTGTGGAATCTAGTGACATATAATCAGGAATACTGTTCCTGCTATCACAGCATCATGCTCTTGTGTTAGTAGGGGCTTCTGACGACCTTACCTAAGCCAGACTGTCAGATTTTATTGGGGGGATATAGACTCCCTTCGTAAATGGGATAGCTTCCCTCTTCCTAAACTTTTCTCTGTATGTCTTAACCTTAAAGATTTAGACTTAGGTCCATTTGCCCTTCTTACTACCTGGAAGACATCCTGCCCTTTGACAGTATGGTATTCCCTTCTTTTCTGGGATCCTTCTGCATGCATTCTTTCTTGTAATACCAAGAAAGCACATTACTTTCTCCCTGCTGTCCCCCTTCCCTCTTCTCTACTGCTCTGTATTGTCTTCCGTTATGCAAATACTGTACTTATTTTTTTTTCTTGCTATCTGCTATAGAATATCCTTTCTGAACTGTGGTTGGTAACTTCTTTCAGCCTCAGGAGAGAGACTGTTTTCTGGCAAATTGCTAGACTATGTTTATAAATGAATGTACACACAGTTCCTACAGGACTGGGGTATTAACCACTTACATTTTGTTGCCATCTGAACTAGCATTGTATTGGCATTTTATGCTGTTTCAGTTCTGTGGCTGGTATATTTAACATTCTCTATTCCCCCCACCCGCAACCACAGCATCGTTACTGGGTGTTGTCTAAAAAGCAGTGGGCTCTGTGAAAATAGGGCCTTGTCCCTGTGATGCTCTATAAATAACCGCCAAATGAATGAAACCAGGAGAGCAAGAACAATTGGCTGAGGATTTCAGGTAGTAAAAGACAAGCCTTTGAATGGTGAGCAGCACAGATCAAACTAGAAGGATTTGCATGATGTGTAAAGAAAAGTACTGAATCCTGTAAACAACAGGGGACCATAATTGTATGTATCTTATGTAAAGGTGTAATTTGTATACATACAAAAAAGTCCACACAGTTTATGTACAACTTGGTGAAGTTTTACCTATGTGTATATCTGAATAATCACTGCTCAGTTTCCAGAAAATATCTCCAAAACTCCAGATGGGGAGATTTTATCTTGACTCACAACATTTTGGATACCAAGTCCCAAGGTTGGTTTGTGTTATAAGCAGGATTGGAATTATTACAGCTGTTCCTGGGATTAACAAGTCTTTATACTTGAAGAAAAACACTAACTCCTACTGTGTGACAGAAATAACACAGTGTGGTTAACATTTATCAATCATCAGCATGCCTTGGCACTTTATAAGCATTACTTCAGTTTATCTGCTTCAGGAGGCTTTGTTACTGTTATATTTTACAGATTCTAAAGGTCAGAGAAGTAGAGTAACTTGTCTCAGTTTCCACAGCTAGGAAGTAGCACAGGTAGTATCAAATCCTGCACTGTCCATCACCAGAGACGGATTTCTTGTTGGAGATCTGCCTTAAATATCTGGTACCTGTGTTTAAGTAACAGAAATGTTGCCTTTGTAGTGGGAGATGACTATTGTATTTGTTACCTGCACACGAGGAATGCTCTTTTTAGGCACATTGTGACTTGTGGCTTACAAGAACTTCGAGAGAGGAGGAGGTTTGGGATTCTGTGTCAATCAGAGCATGGAGTGGCGGTGTTTCTTAGGATTGATTTTTATGAGGGAGAAGGATGCTTTCAAAGAGGATGGCTCCTTAACATCAATATATAGCAACAAGGTGATGGTCCCTACAGAAACAGTTCGAAAACAGGATACAGTTAAGATGAAATGTGGACCTAAATATCTAGAAATTCTAGCAATTAGTTTGCCTTAAAAATTAGTATCAGTGGAATAAGTGCAGGCCTGTTTTAGTTAGCTAAGTGGCAAAATTCTTACTATGTTTTAAGAGCTAAGATGGCCAAAGAAAATGTGAAGTTTATAGCCACTGAAAGGAAAAAGAAATTTCTTTTAATGGCTTGCAAAGTTACTTAAACCCAATAATCTTCTATATATGTTAATGTCTTAATTCTGTCTCAACAGTGCAAAGAAAACCTGTCACATTGAATTTTAGTTATCATGCATGATTAAAATATAATATTTGCCATTTTTTCAAAGTGGGAAAGACAGTGCAGCACATTTTAGCACATTTAGGTATAGACTGGGAGTAGTCAATAAAACTCAAGTTTTACAAGATGAAAAGCATGGCAGGAAGTATCTGATTACTGCTGAGAAACCTGTTTCAGGAAACTAATCTTAAAAAGATATAAACAGCATGCTTATCCAACTTGCTTGGGGGAAAGACCACAGTTTTAAGTTGTTTAGAATAGTGGGTACAAAGATACTGTTGCCAGTTGTATCACTTTTTGAAGAGTTAGGTCAGGAATAGAAGTTCAGGATTGTTTTGGTGTCTGTTTATTTTTACATGGGGATGGGGTGGTGATGCAGATGGCTTTCTACTCAAAGTTGCTCCTGTTGGTAAATGTTTCTTTTACTGACTTTGTTTAAAAGAAAACTTGCATTTAAGCGATTAAAGTTAACCCTAAAATATAAAGTATGGGAAGTGTCCTTCAAAAATAAAATATATGAGGTCATAGTAGCAGACAGGTCTGTTTCTCTCCCACCCCCAACTCCCCAACCAGGGGTTTCTTTACTGTCTTGTTCAGAGTGCCTACTTCTGAGTAGCTTTATGGTGTTTGCGAATGACATATGCCTGGGGGATTGTCACTTAAGAATGCTGCGTCCCTGGAGCCAGCATGTCTAAGCTGCCAGGAACCCTTCCCTTGCCTGAAGAATGGCTGAACCCCCTTTGGCTCTGGTTCCCAGCATTAAGCCGCCTTCCTCCAAGTCATTCCCTCAGATTTGGTAGTGAGCCAGGGCGAAAGTAGGCTTTGAGGAAGTCAGTCAAGAGGGGAGAGCAAAAGAGATGCTGAGAACAAAAGAAGGATGATGTCAGTGTCCTAGTTAGTGCCCTTCTGTAAGAAGCAGGGAAATAAGTTCTCTTCTTAGAGTCTTATTGTCACCATTGTGTTCTTTTTAAAGCCTTAAAAAAATGGTGAAGTGTAATACACAAACATTTTTAACTGGCCCACTGAGATTCTTCCCTTCCTACTCTGCTACCTTAACTGTCCTTTCTTCTGGTGATTGCTGAAGGTAACAGTTTTGTTAACAAAGACAGAAATAGATGTTAAAGATGAAAACCACCACCACAACAAAAATATCAGTGAACACATAAGTTTGAGATCCCTGCAAAAAATTTTTTTCTGAAATCACTATTTCCTCATGATGATATACAAGGCAAATGAATACGAAACAGACAAAGTGAGGAAAGAAGGGGAGAAATGAAGATGGGGCATGGAATCTTCCAGGCTCCTGTCTGTCTCCCTTTGTTTCAGACACCTTTGTTCATAGGACTGTTGCTTACCCCTGGGTTGCAGGTAGACTTGAATTATAACTAACTGTGTTTTTCTAGTTTTTTAAGAATATGAGCGCTAGGTACATATAGATCTATCTATATATATCTTAGGTATACATAATTATGAAAAAATTATTACATGTAATTATGAAAACACTGCAGTAGGTCTTTTACAGTCTTCTTGGATATATCAGATAGGAGGATTCAGAGATATTTAGTACCTTTTCTCCACTTGGAAGCTACTCTGAATAGGCTTTATAAGGTTGGAAACCAACTGTATTAGGATACTACTGTTTTCATAATAGTAAAGTAGTAGTAAACCAAATAAAGTAGTAAACCTTTATTAAGGTTAGGTAGGAGAAACCTAAATACAATGAAACTATTGCTATTCATTCTGGGTAAGTGGGATTTGATAAAGTTAACTGGTACTTGGGTAGGCAAGTAAACATAAATTTAAAAATGAGGTTATTTTTCTTACAGTCCTATTTTGTGACGGATTATGACCCAACCATCGAGGATTCCTACACAAAGCAGTGTGTGATAGATGACAGAGCAGCCCGGCTAGATAGTAAGTAATCTTCCTTTATATGATAGTTTACATATCATATTTTTGAAAAGTAAGCTTGGGTGTTTTGCCAGGTTGTGTACTACAATTGAAATATGAATGGTCTTGAATATAAGCCCATCTCTTTCCTTAGTTTTGATTGATGAATCTGCATTTTGGGATAATTAAATATTTCTCAGCAAATGTAATATAAAACAATAATTGTGTTGTTCTTGTTTTGGTGAAACTAATCATGTCATGGTAACTAGTTGGAGTTGAATTTTAGGGACATTTGGAAAGAAGCGTGAAGTTTCAGCTCTTCCTACTTTCTTGTAAAGGTTAAAATGGGTGAAGTAAATATAGAAAAGATTCAATATTTGTCAACTTGCTTAGAATTTATAGCACGGAGGCTTTAGCAAACAGGGTTTTGTGCTTGGCTACACATTCCACATCTCCACAAAAGATAACCCTGTTCTTTTAAGTTCGATGATTCTTTCATTCACAGAGATCAGGAAATATGCTAGCGCCTGTGCTTTTAAGTATGGTGTTTGGGGAGTAGATTGAGGGATCTTTCTCGAATGTACAGGTATCTTTTTCAGTTCTTTCCGTGGAGGAGATAAAACATCCAAGTGACTTTAAAGGTTGTCTGACTCTGTCTGCCTAGATATATTTGATATTTTTAACCTTGTTGTTGGTATGCTAATATATTCTAGCTACAAAATCAACTCCTACTGATGAAGATGACTCTGAAACTGTCTGCTGTGAGATATATTTGTCTCTAGTGTTGAGAATAAAGCACTAAGAAGAGAATGCTTTTTGTTTATTACACTAAGTCTAAAATATAGACTCTAAAGGACCCACATTAATTGGGTCCTGTCCTTATGGGGAAGCTATTCATAAAATGAAAACACAAACATGGTTACATGTGTTGTTTTCTCTCTAGTTCTGGATACAGCAGGACAAGAAGAGTTTGGAGCTATGAGAGAACAGTATATGAGAACCGGCGAGGGTTTCCTGTTGGTTTTTTCAGTCACAGATCGAGGCAGGTTTGTACCAGTATTTTAAAATACAGATCTTCTGTTCATGTGTAGATCACTATTTTGTTATTTTTATAGAGAAAGGAAAAGGAATAAGGGACTAGATGGGGTGTGGGACTTGTTGAATTCTGAGATTTGAGCAAATCAATTTGTCTGTTTTTGTTTTAGTTTTGAAGAAATCTATAAGTTTCAAAGACAGATTCTCAGAGTGAAGGATCGTGATGAGTTTCCAATGATTTTAATTGGTAATAAAGCAGATCTGGACCATCAAAGACAGGTGAGAAGGAGCTTTGCCATTGGGAATCCCATTGTTGATGATCATGTTGGCAGGTGGATGTGTTTCCTGAACCCGTTGAAAGTGCCACGATCAGGGAAACTGCTGAGCTTGGCAGTCTGGGTTTGGGAAAGTCAAAATCTCACATGTTTTGGACACCAGGTTTCAGCTGATTCTGTAAGTCCCTGTTTGTACCACCTCCATTCACATGTTCTTATTTTGTAGGTAATCAACACAATTCTAATCCAGTAGCTCATCTTAAAGGTATCCTTTCTTAAGGCCAAACTCATTCAGTGTTCATGCTTGCTTACTTTCACATCTAGAGAGTGGTTTCAACTTAAACTATAGTATTTGGATTTTCCCTAAGTCCCATTAATGACAGAATCTTCTGTTAATTCTTTACACTGGCTGGCTCTGACACCAGTAACCTGTAAGAAAAGAATATTTTTAGTATTTAGTTGTAGGCTGGATTATACTCACTTGTTTCTTTACCCACCGACTTTACCTTTGATGTTTAAAATATTGGGCATACTGTCTGCTCACGTTTTTGTGAGTAAGCAGAACAAGGTCAGATGTGAATTAATGCAGGCTGTACATGGTCTTTTTTGTCTGTATTTCTTTAAGGCTTTAGCCTCTACCCCATATCTGGAATATAATTTTTTAGGTTGTTTCTTCATTTTTGCTGGCATTTGAGTTCTCTTTGGTTTTTATATAACTTTGTGTTGATGTTTTTAAGATTCTGCTTGAAAAGTACAAATCTCAGGAAAAAATGGGTTGATAACAGCATTGAGGACAGCCTTCTGTTTTGTATTTAACTATTTAAAACATAATTTTTTTTATTTGTGTGCTATATTTGTAAAATTTCGTTGAAGATATACTGTGTTTAAAATTCGAGCTTAATTAAGAGAATGGTATTATTGTTCTAATGCTAAGATTTAGAAATGTTTACTGGTGATACTTGATGAAGGATGTAGAATAAATTGTACTGCTAGGTCCCTTTCAAATCTGAATTATTACAAAGTTACAGTGAAAAAATTTGATCTTCACTTCATACCAGTATAAGCTGTCTGAAATAATTTAGAATATGGCACTGCCCACACCTTAAGCCTTAGAGTATAGAGTCCATCTGTTTTTTAATTTACTTTTTTTTATTTTCGGGGATCATTTCCTTCAGGGTTTCTGAACCTAGTGATATTTATTAAATGTTGCAGGTAGAACCTGTCGGATGTTCTCCTCAGTCCTTTTTAGTGCTTGCAGCACTTCTCTGTGTTACCGGATCTGGGAATCCTAGCAGAGGTGCTCTTTGGCAAGCAACCGGCTCTCCCCAACCTTACACTGACCTCTACCCCACCCCTGCGTGCTTTCTGCCATGATTATGGAAAAGGTTTTTCTCAAACCTTTTCATGGTCGTATAACCGCTCTAGTAACAGACTAACTGGGTGGGAGGCCTGGTGTGCGTTGGAGGTCTCCTATAGGGTAGGTGGTGGCTGGTCAGGGAGATTAGGGGAACATGCGACCCCCCCCCCCGCCCCCCCAGCATAGGCCCTGCTGTAACAGGCTTGGGGCAGAGGGTCAGGATGCGTTACTTTTAATCCCCTCTGTAGTGAAGGTTGCCAGTGTTCGGTGTGTGGTTTCCATCTGTCTGCACGTATTCAGCAGTGGCTTTGTTTCATGCCACAGGCTTACAGAAGTTTTCATTTAGGTTTTTTTCCCCTTTTATAAGAGTAAAGATTCTCAGAGTAATATGGAAAACAAGGTGATGAGAGGAACATTATAGGGGGTGATAAGTTTCATATTTTCATCACCCTAAAGATACACAGTTAGCCTGGACTAAGACCTTCTATATTCATTTCTCTGCTTTAAACTGTATACAGGATAAATTACATGCACACCGAAAGCTCAGCTACGTCTATATCCAGGGGAGAAGAGCGAGTGGCTGAGATCTGACTGCTTGATTTTTGCTCATTCCCGTAGATTCTACTCTGAAGAATAGGCACTAAGAAAAACTTTTTTCCTGCTTCATCTTCTCTTTTCTGGGTTCCTGCACACTTGCACTCGGGCATGACTACTACACTTACCGTGATCCTTTAGCGGCAGCTGGCAGGAAACCCTACCACCTTTCCCTTGTCCATTCATTTCCCACTTGTTTGCATGCTTATTACTCACTTTCTCATTCTTAAACTTACAACACTTTATTCCCCTTCCTCACTCATGGCTAATGATGTCATATTTTCCTATTTCACTGAGACCTTTCTGTGTGTTTCCACCTCCACATGTACTAACCTAAGTGCATATGTACCCCGTCAATTCTGCGTTTCCTCACTTGTGTGGATAAACTATTTACCTGTCTGTGCCCATCCTCTCTAGTAGGCACTGGGTCCCAATCCTTCTCTCTGGATCATAGATGTCACCCCAACAGTGGTTCTGTTCTGGGTGTTCCATTTCTCTGCTACATGATCATTCCCACAAGCATGTGTCGTGCTACCGTGGCTCTCATCTTTAAAATAAAAAGTAACTACAGCAAAAACTTGTTCTTAATCTCACATTCTTCTCTGTGTACCTTTCTGCACCTTCTATCAAGCAAATCTGCTTAAAAGTGTTATCTACACTTGCTCTCCTCTCTTTCCTGCCATTCTTGCTTGCTCTGACCTCAGGCATGCAGCACTCCAGTCAAGGTCACCATTTACGCAGATGTCAGTAACATTTAACACAGTTGTTCCTACTCTCATTTTTGAAACACTTTGTTTACTTAGCTCTGGGATACCTTAACGTATGCCTCCTCCCTCCCATTTCTGATATTTCCTTCTCTCTCTCAGGTATCTTAGGGTTCAGGTACACCTTCTACTAAGGCTCTAGTTGTACAAAGACCACCTTACCTCCCAGTGTTGAGGGCACCACACCGTGCATTTGAAGTTAAGGTGCTGTGCTAAAGGTTTTTACCTTTTTAAAGTCTCTTTAGAATTAAGGGTGTTGTCTATAATGTCTTGCCACCTTTACTTGCTCTACCAACAGCCTGGACAGGCCATGGGAATCCATAGGAATTTCTTCCCCTGTTTAGAAATATTTACTTTTTGGTCATCACCCCTAAGGAGTTCTTACTCAGTAACCAGTCTGACTTGCTCTTACTTACTGACCCAGTTCATTCTTTTCTGCCTTTGTGTTAGACACGATCCTTTGGACTTTTTCTAGTTTCTTTCTTTTTTTTTTTTTTTTTTTAATGTTTTATTTATTTCTAGGAGACAGAGAGAGAGACAGCATGAGCAGGGGAGGGTCAGAGAGAGAGGGGGTCACAGACTGAAACAGGCTCCAGGCTCTGAGCTGGCAGTCAGCACAGAGCCCGATGCGGGGCTCGAACCCATGAACCGTGAGATCATGACCTAAGCGAAAGTCGGACGCCTAACCAACTAAGCCACCCAGGCACCCCGGACTTTTTCTAGTTTCTTGTCACTTTTCTGTTACATAGCAAATGCCAGTTCTCCATGTTCTTTGAATTTGTGGGTCAGCATTCCTGTTACAGGTTCCTGAGATTCTGAACCCATCTGGGAAGGTCAACCAGAAGAGCTTTTGTTTATTACTTCCTTTTGGCTTCTGTATCTCTGGATTTGCTTCTTACACCCACCCACCCATGCACCCATCCATCCGTCCATCTGTCCATCCAATATTTATTGAACCCTTTTCTAGACACTAATAACACACAATAGAAAAAACAAACTGACTGAAGCTTTCATTAAATAAAAGGAATTTGAATGGTTAAGTTACCATATACCTAGCCCCTTAGAGATAGCATTGATTATTTTATCCTGTCAAAGATGTAGGAAGAAAACACAGGTAATTGACTTGCTTGTGCTTGCTAAAATGTAAAAGTAGGTAAATATGATAGCATGCTAATTTCTGAAATTTAATACAGCAGTATGTGTGCTTGGATTGTGGACTTCATGGTATCTCTGATTTCAAGTTCCTTGTCCTTGACTCAGCCCTGTCTAGAAATGGACTGTTTTGCTTTCTTTTGTTTACCCTTTCTTTCTTCCTTTGGCTTACTTTAGTTTCCCCTCTCTTTTTCCCCTTGTCAGGTGCTAGTGGCCACTGTTAATTTGAGAAAGGGTACCCATTACACTTAGGATAATGCCTAAGTGTACTAACCCCCACACTCTCTGTTAGTACCTTGACCACAGTATTCCCCTGTAGCCTCCCAGAAGAAAGACTCCCCCTGCCCCCAGCAGTAGAGTAAGGGTCCTCTTCTTGCTTTACCTGTTTGTGCTGTGTCTGCATCTAAAGATTTGGAAACTGTTGAATGTAAGTGGCATGAGGGCTTCTCAGTTTCAACCAGTTTTGCTTTGTCCTTAGCACATAGAACCAAGATACACACTCAATAAATATTTGCTGAATGAATGATTCAAGGCATCTTGAATGAATCAAGATGTGATGGTAATTTGATGATTCTTTCTATACAATAGGCATTTTGGAGGGAAAAAACAACAACACAAAACAAGTTTTGATTCTGTAAACTTAGGTTATTTATTGACTAGAAGCATCCCTAAGTGAGTATTGCAAATGTTTTGGTCTAATCCTAGTAAACCCAGTTTGTTGGATAAAATTGCCCTCTATTTTGCTCCTCTCTATTTGGAAATACATATTACTAGATATACTCATTGTTGTGGATATCTGTTAATATTCATTCATGCCTTTGAAGTGTAAAGGCTCACTGGAGGTTCCCAAATGTAGATCTGTGAATTTGTTATATCAGACTCACCTTTGTTGTTTAAAATAGAACATTTCTGGGTAGTGCTGACCCACAGAATTAAAATATCCAAGAGGTAAAGTTTAGTATGTGGTATCTTTATAGAATTCTCTGGGTTGGGGAACGTCTAGGAAATCCTTGTTTGTGTAGCTTTCAGTCTTCTGTTGATTCTGGCTTCACAAAGCTGTGGCTTTGTTCTGTGTGATGCTCTTTTTTGTTCATTTTTGTGTTTACTTGCTCTGATGGTAACAGTGCTGTTTCTACT